TTTTACTCTCTCTAAGCACGGTTCAATTCCATTAACACCTTGTACCTCCTATTAGCTAATGCACTACAGCTACACACTGAATCTCATCCAGCTCATTACCAGGCATCAGTCCCACACAGAGATTCTTCTCTATGTCCCAACACTGCCAACAGAGAGAGGAGTACCAGCAGCAGAATATGGCATGTGCAACAGCTTAAATGGTTCTCAGTCTGTGCGATTCATTCACAGGTGGAACAGCCTCAGTCTCCGTCATGCTACAGTGGATCTGATTTGATCGTTTCTGGGAAGAAACTGAATTAACCAGTGTGGGTTACAACTAGAGACAATACACCAGGCTTCTTGTTTTGTCTTCGTCTGCAACACTGTCATTTGAATTGCAGCCTTTTTTGTTTGGTTTAGGGATGCAGAGGCATGCATAGGGGTTGCTTTGGATTTTTTAGTGGGAGGTGAGGGGTCAGAGGGGGCTGCAGTAACGTCAGGGTGGCCTTTATGGCTACAATGAAAAGCACAGCGGGGAAAGTGAAGCCTTGCTTGTGCTCGGCACAGTTTATTAAAACTGCAAAAAGGGTGAGTGGCCACAGATGGTGCTGTCAATAACCATTCACCCACCCATGCAAATGCACACTCATGCACCAACACACACCAGTGCCACACCCCATGCCATACCACCGGGTGGAAACACACGACAGATACACACACAGTTATAAAAGGAGGGGTAGGTAAAACAGATGGTAAGTGTGTGATGTTGTGGAGGAGTGCTCCAGGGGGCGTTGAGATTCCATTAGTCTTTCAACCTCTAACCTCCTCTAACACCTCTGAGAAGCTGTGAAGTCACAGCAGCACAGATATCCACCATCATCCACTGTGGAGTGTTAGCTACAGCTCAACTTCTTCAGTAAGTAAAAACAGATTGTTCAAGTGACAAAAAAGGTAACGTTTACGTGAAATAACATATTACAGCTATTTAGATTAATTAAAGGCCACAAAGGGAAGACAGCAGACAAGTGGTAGAAAATTAAGGTAAATTGGAGCCTTTATATTTGTATAGTCCAATATCCATGCAATTAATGTCCCACTGTAGCAATAGTTCCCAAGTTGCCATCCACCTTAAGGTATCTTATTTTCCCGACAGATTCCTGGATGGTTCAGCATGCAAAGACAGGTACTTCACATGGCCCCGGCATGGTGTTAATGGGACAAAATTTGATCATCACCATAGGTCAGATTATGGTGACAGCTGCCTTCAGATCGGCTCATGCTCCCAAACTCCCGAATGACAATATTTACTAACCAAGAAGGCAAAGGTGACATAAGGACACCCAAGTCTCGCAGCTGTTTTAATTCTCACAGTGTATCTGGACTTGTGCCCAAAGCAAAGACAAAGCATTAGTTAGTACAATCAACCATTAGTTCATCAATAGATAGAATTCACTGATCAAGTTTAAGTCACTCATCAAGTAAAAAAGCTGCTTGGTACTAGCTTCTCAAATATGCTGCACTTCTCTCTTTCATGTCATTAAAAATTGAATGCCATAAAAACAAATTTGAGGACACATTTCCAGCACACCACACTCTCCACATCATCACATGCTTAAGTCTGGCGACATGCTGGATTTATTTCCAAAAAACACGAAAGACCGATTTAAAGCAAAATTACAGTTTTGACTCGGCCTGATCCAGATGTCACACATATGTGACATCTGGATCATGTCATGGACATATACATACTCTATCACGCAACTGGATACTGTTAACTCCCACTATTGCTAATGTAAATAAACTAATGACTTTTAACCACAAGACAAATCCTATTAATTTGAAAAATAACAAAGACCATGCCTTCTCAGGGCACTTTCCTGCCTTTAATCCTCCTGCATACAAACATGGGTGGACCACTCACTTTGAGTATGCAAAGGGGCAGGGCTCTGATTTCACACGGCAGTGAAGGCAGGTCATAGGGGGCAGCCTTTATAATGATCCAGAAGAGGACCCCTGACAAAAGCTCAAGGGGTCCTGCCATGAGAGTCACGACCCCCAGGCCACGAACAGCAAGCCACAGCCTGACATCAAACCAACACTTTGCCCAAGAGAAGACACAGCAGTGTTGCTATGCCCTGATCCACCAGTCCACAGAAACAGAGCCCCACACAGAATACCAGTGTACCCACAACCTTCTCTTAGTCTGCCTTAAATGACTTAAATTGACTGCAAATGATGAGCACCATAAAGCACAAACAAATTCCACTGTCTTAACCCAATCTTCGTAATGTTTTTGTTTTTCCAAAACAAGCTGAGTCTTGATGGAAATGCCGAATTTAGCAATTAGCAAAAATTAAATCCCCATGCTATAGAGCCTTTTCAATAAAAGGATAATTTCCTTGAATTGCCGAAATGACATCCATTTTCATTTCATCTGTGGGAGGGTGAAAAAAAGGCTGTTTGGAGGTACTTAAGAAGTGAATGTCAGCTGAATGACAAGTCGGGTTTAAGAAGTGTCAGCCATCATAGGAAGGCTTTCAGACAGTCACCAAAGAAAACTACATTAAATACTTCACATCGACTGCTGTGAATAACAATACCATTCTGCACACAGTTACTGTCCTGACTATGAGAAAAAGAAAACAATAAAAATGTATGGACATAAAAATGATGATTCTCAAAAAAGGGGGCTCATCATTGTAGTTCTGCATAACTGCTGGATAACTGGATGACGGCAGACCACTGTGTCATCTGTCAAATTCGGAACAGAGGGTTTCACACTACAGATCAAAGTGGTTACGCAACATGAGCCAAAACTGGCTGCCAGATATTTGTTGAAATATTGTGAGAATTAACACAAATTTCCAAACTGTGAGACAGAGAGGACGCAGGCCAAAAGATCAAACATCAGCTCCGGCTGTTTTCTGGGCTGCTTGTTGTTCTACTTCTTGAGTAATCAATGTCTGTTCACCAGAGTCTGCCTCTGGCTACCACAGCTACACTGCAGATGTGATCCCACTCATTATCACCGCAAACTCTTAACTCATAAAGCGCTTTACAGCTGCAAAATCAGGAGCCGCTCTAAAAGAGAATACTTAATGTTGACTGAATGCATTTTCTTTCACTGCTAACTACTCATATCATAACAAGCTGGCAGCTATTTTCCCAGAACACACAGGGTCTACATTTGCAGGAGTCATCTGACCTACTAAAGACTCTCATTGTTATGCTTGACAACAAGGCATAAACATAAACGTTTTATAGAGATGATAGCGTATGTCTGAATGCTCTGGCTGCAAAAATATGTAACATTATGTCTCTCCGTGGTGAACTGCAGTGAGTTCGTATCAAGACAGAAACAGAGGGGTATAACTCGGCGATGCTAAATGCAATACAAAACATGATCCTCATATAGCTTCAAAAATGTCTTCGTCCAAAAAATTAATTTGAATGAGAAGAAATAAAGCAACTCGCAAGCTATTTGCAATGCAAAAAGAGCAAGTACAGTACATTATGCAAATAGCCAGGCACTACCTGTGAAGATAAAAAAAAAATCCTCACAGGAATATTTACAATGCATGACAAGCCTCAGTGCATCACCGTCAGAATTTAATTTTACATCTTCAACAAAACAATACACCTTAACACTGATTTACTGAGGCTGCGGTGGTCCTATCTAGCAACAGCTATTCGCAGCAGCATCAGGTAGTTGTTATTACCCCGCTGGGATCTGCATGACAAATGGGAGGCAACGGCATCTCTTGTTCAGCATCTCCTATGACTGTGCATCATCCTCTATTATAGGCTGAAAGCCCTTAGTCATCCTCAAAGGGAGAAGAAAGGGTGCCGAACATTCCTTGCAAATGAGCGCTTGTGCTCAACCACATGCTATCTTGTAATTCCTCAAGCAGCAGTGGTCCCTTCTCGACACTACACCCCCACCCCCCCCCACCCCCACTAACCTTCCCCTTTCTCTGGATGTGAGGTTGTATACGGGGGATGTGAATAGGTGGTATTTCAGCATGCTAAAGGCACTGAAGAACAGAGCTGGTTGGCTGGGGGCCAAATCCCCATGGTTACCCTGGAGCAGCAACTGCCTCTTTCCTGTGCTGGTCTGTCTGGGAATAAACTAACTCTGCTCTGCATGCATGGGGGGGCTTGAAGGAGAAAGACGAGACAAGATAAGTTAGGGTGGCATCATTAGAGAGTCTTGCACACCTCTAAATCACCCACCTAAATCCCGGCACATAGCAGTTTTATGCTTAGGAGTGAGGCTGGTGACATTCAGCGGGAAACAGAGAGGGCACAGAATGGTAAAAAAGCAACCAGCTCTTTTGAAGTACCTCTGAGCAACACGCTGAATGTAAATACAGGTGTGCTGTCTGAACATGTGCACTTCCTGTCCTCAGCTGCATTCTCATGCTGTGTAATACTGTGGGAACTGTGCGGTGACTACAAAGTCTCACACCAACTCTGATAGTAACAGGTTGTTAAACACGTCAACATAATAAAATGCACCAGACCCTGAAGTAGGAGTTAAATATATTTCAGCTGATAACCTGCTTGGACGTGCAACCTGAACACAACAGATAACCTGATAGGCTGTATATGTGGAAGATAGTGATCTTTCCTTTGGGCCAATGGTGGATCTGCTGAACACTTTCACTGGCTTTTACATGCAAAACTGCAAAACAAAAGACTTAAAGCCACCCCTGAACTCTAGTAGCAATCTTTTTAATTTGCTAATGAGTTCTCATCCTTGTAATGCTGATTTAAAATCATTTAACTGTACCAGGCCTGTGAGTATTTTCAAGTTATATAAAGATTGGATGTTCTGGTTAAACATGTGGTTGTTTGCCTGCAGTAAACACCAACAGGAGGTCATATTTTACCAACTTTTTCATATTACACACCACATCACCAACTATGAGTCATACGCAGGTAGTGAACTAACGTTAGCCTGGTCCCAATTAACAGTTTTCCAACAAGCATTTCCGAGCCAAGCTTTCACTCCCCCTTACCTTTGACTTGACTCTCGTAGTCCGCGATGATTTCTTTATCCTTTTTGAACCTCGGCGTGGACATTTTCTGTCTTCTTATAGCCGAAGCTTGTTGTAAACTTCTTGCAAATAAAACTGTTTGTCAACAAGCGGGATCCTACAGCAGCCGACGCATCCCACACAGGGCGAGAAAAATGACCGCGAGGCAGAGAAGAAGAGGCGCGAGACAAAATGAAGAAGAATTTAACTGAGCAACAAGCTCGACCAGAAGCAAGAAGAAAACGTTTAGCTCCTCATTGTTCCCTCTTCCCTCTCTGGGTAAACGGTGGATACACAGCGGGGTCAATGCGCAATGCTGCTCCAACCAATGAATCCAGTCAAGTCTCAGCAGTCGGCGCGGCGCAACAGCACTGCTGCCACCACAGAAGAAGAAAAAAACAATCACGCAAGTTTCAGGGGGCTCCGTGTGCTCCCTGAAAAGAAGTGCCAACAACCCGTCCGGAGGGCTTTAAAGTCGACTTGAATCGTGAGTGTGTGTGCTTTTTGGTGTTGGTTTCCAGCTCGGGACCCGCACACACACTCACACACACACTTCCCCCCTTGCTCGCTCTCCCTCGACGGTTTCTCCCCCCAGCTCCCAGCAGGCTCAGAGGCAGACAGGGCAGGCCGACTGCAGCATACAGCAGCTGGAGCCAGGCAGGGAGAGGAGAGGAAGGAGAGGGAGGGATCTGCAGCTAGTGGACACCAGTGGACTGACACTCCTGCTACCAAACCTCAAGGTTTTTTTCCCTGTCCATAGTAAGCTGTTGAAACAGGATTTAACACTCACTACAACTTTAAACTACTGCAGCTCACACATAATGGTTTTCCTTAGTATCACTTATAATGAAATACCGCGCCAAATTTAGAATATGATAATATTAAAGGCAAACTACACCCATTTACAAGAGTCATACAAGTTATACCTAAGGTCTAAGACAGTCCAAAAATATTGGTAAACATGAACAACTCTCTCCCAAATCTAAAAACTAGAGTGCTAAAACTCAAATTTATGATGTCATAGGGCAAGGGTGTCCAAACTTTTGAATGGGGTCCAGATTACATAACGTGAAAATAGGGTCCGCCAAGTGCCAAATGCAGGTAGATTATCCAGTTGGCGAGTAAGTCTCGGTAAACTACCTGCCACACTAGCGGGCAAAGATTTGTACCAAAATAGTCATGGAATAAAAAACAATGCCAAGAGTCTCTACTGCGTTTTGGTGTCATTTAGGGGCACAGAAGGCTGCTCTTCTGCTGTCTGTGTCAGACACAAACAGAGATACATGCACGTCAAAATGGTGCTTCAAAACTGATTGTCTCGAGCAATTCAAGATTTGTGGCACTGTTAACCGGATGGAATATCAGCTGATCTGCTAAACTATCACTTGCTCTCACATTATCAGTGCCAGGGCATTAGCTTCATTTCTTCCATTCTTACCTTTCACAATAAAAGCCCAAGATATAAACACTGCATTACTGCTTACCAGAGTGAACTTATTCACTTACTGAGGCTGTGGTGATGAGTTGTTCAATAGCTTACAATCATTTTGATTCAAATTTTGCTCTGGCATCTTCTTTAAATCTGTATTTAACATAATGTCTTATTATCTCAATGAAATGTACTGAAACAAATGTATATGTGACACAAAAAGGCAATGTATTATTTTAGCCGGTAAAAAAAAAGCTGGCCCAGTGACTCAAAAAGTTAATTTCAGACACTGTGTCAAAATACCGGGGGTTCCAGCTGCTTTTTGCTGCATATGGGTTATCTTTTTTTTTTAAAAAAAACATGTATAAAGGAGACCAGCATAACTTCCTTATCTTTCATTGAAAAGGTATTTAACCTTCCACTGCTTCTGAAAGCAGCGGACCTTGCTGTCAAAGTTTTTTTGCTTTGGCCATGTCTGCTACCTAGCAGGAAATGTCTGCTGTTAAGTATCTGTTTGTTTGCTTGTTTACCATCTGTTTATAAAAACACATTAGTTCCACCTGCATTGCTCCGAGTTGAAGAATGTCTGCGAACTGTATGATAGTTCTGCCATCGTGAGGTGAACGGAAAAAATGCAGAATGAGCTTGCTTGATTAACCAATATTGTGTGAAAGGCCACATATAGTATATTTTAACAGACAAGCCGAGTGGCATTTAAAATTGGTCTGTGGGCTACGATTGGCCCCGGGCCAGACTTTGGATGTGACTTTCACAGCATATAAAGTCTAGAACTGCTTCACAGTTCCCCTTTAATTATTACATTTTTAGTTTATGTATTTTTCTGTTTATTTTTCTTAAGAGTTATGTGCTCAGTCTCAGTAACAACTTGATGTTGTAATGTTCAGACGTTGTTACCTCATGAAGGTAGAATAAATAAATAAATAAATAATTCCCTAATAAATCCCCAACATTTAATCTAAATTCACATAATGATTCTGAGGATTTGCAATTACTTTAAACCTTATTCAATCCGAAGTAAGAGCCTATAGACAGGATGTCTTTTTCAAATATATGGACATCCAGCCATATACAGGGGGCACAGCTGCAGAGGGGCCATAAAAGGTCTAGTTAAAATATACACAGGGGCCCCATATTTTCTAGCTAGATCCATGTACTTAAATCCAAGGAATATATTAATGTTAATATATTATACATTTATTTTATTGTTTAAAAGTTATTCATTGATTATTCAAAAAAGATTGTAAATAGTGAAATATAGTATAAAAATGTCATCTTAGTTTAAGGTTAACTAACTTTGAAGATACCATATTTTTTGCTCAATTAAATCACTTGACCTGTGACTTGATTTAGTTAAACCTTTTGTTTTTCATTTAAACTGAGATCAGTGTAGCTCCTGAGCATTAACTGGTTCACAGCGCCCTCTAGAGGAGAAATAAAAGCACAGGACAAGCACATCCACTCATTTCTCTTTAGGACAACACTCAAATTTATTTTCTTGCATTGTCTAAAATCCATGCAGTACAGCACTGAAACAAATAAAACAAATAAGAGATTATTTATCTATGTTTTGATCAGAAAAGTGACACATGCCACAGTAACAACACCCATTTTCAAACTTCTCACAATACAAAATAATAGCTTTATGTACCATTTTCAAAACAAGGCCTAAAAACACATTATTATCTCATTCTACTCCTAATGTTTAGTGTTTTCTAAAAATCACAATATTAAGTGTGTACAAACAGATATAAAACATGGCTCAAAATAATATAAGGACTTCAAAATGCAAAGGCAGTTTATCTTTTAGTATTTTAAACGCCTGGACATTCTACCATTGTAAACATTAAGATGATAAATATACAATAAAGTCATGGGGCCCTTAACTGACAAATAATGGCAGCTTTACAACATACACAAATGGTTTTATAATAACCCGCACAGAAATATTACACTGAACGTCATTAGGTCACCAGTAGTATGTCACATTTCTCCATGAACCACAAAATAAATTCAACCAATATTGAATATGTATCCACGTTTATCTTTAAATGTTTAATTATGCACATCAGTCAGCCGCTTTTGAAGAACGTCTCCTCGATGACCTCGGTGAACCTCTCCTTCATCTGCTGACGGAAGCTGGCATACCACTCCAACAGCCTCCTCCTCCTGTCCACCCTCTGCTCCTGGCTCATCCCCCGCTCCCTCTCCAAGATGGCCGGCAGTTCTTTCCAGTCACTGATGAAGATGAAGGGCGCTCCCGCAGCTTTGAGCAGACGTAACGGGGAGCTGGGCCCGGCTGCACAGGTCCCAGGTGTCAGTACGTCTTCCACCACGGGCACCGAGCCATAAGAGCAGGCCTCATAGATGCGGTAGCACTCTGTGTTGATTCCGACTGGGCAGAGAGTGAGCTCGCTCTGTGCCAGAGCTGTCTGATAGCGTCTCAGACTGTCTGATGTCTCCTGAGGGAGCCACCTGAGGCAAGGAGAGAGGAAAGTATACTTAAGCTCAGCTCAACAGCTCACTGCAGTAATTATGCAAGATATATATTCCTGTTCCAATGAGACGATTCATATTGTAGATATCTCACCTTAACTCCATTCATAATTTAACAAAAGTTAAAAAACAAAACAGAAATTCTACATTTAAAATGTCCCAATACATAAAAATGGAGCTACCAATAACACCAGATTCACTGACAACATTATTAATGAAGAGGGATTCATTTCAAACTGCATATAAGAGTGGAACCTGATCACAAAAAAGAATCACAGTCCTCAGCAGCCCTAAAATGTGTGGGTAAAGTTTGCAAACTGCTCACATTTAAGTTAAGCATGTAACATATTTCAAATATAAGTGACGGGGGACAAAATCCACGCTTTCTGTGTAAAAATAGATTCTAAGGTTCAGTTTAATTACATAAGGACTAACCTCTTCAGCCTCTGTGATGTCTACTTTAACCATGTCATGTCAGCCCCCTCAATTTTATTTGAATTTCACCATACTAGACCTAAAAAAATATTTGAAAACCTCTGAATTGTTAACTAAAATAGCTTTTATCATTAATAAACTCAATTATTTTATTATTTTTTAATTAAAACAAAGACACAACAGGAAGGTCTCATTGACACATCCTTGATATTAATATTTTCAATTTTATGTTATTAAACAACATAATAATACAAGTAATACAGTCATAACAACTAAATAAAAAATTCTTTACTCTTCAATATCAGTCCTGAACAATGACTTACTTCTCCCTGGCAGTGGTGATGCAATCTTTTTCCAGACCAGACTGTTTCAGCACCTGCATGAGAGTTTCTCTGGAGGAATTTTTGTAAACGGTTCCTAAAAAATTGCAGAGGTATGGCCTGTTGGAGGTAATCAGTTGGGCATTCGGCCTGATCATAGGAAACTGTCTGTATCTGCAGAGATGAGCAGAACAGAGCAACATGTTAGACAACACTATTCATTAAAAAAATACAGTTTATTGTACTGTTACTGAGCACTACTGATGTTCACATACACATGCACACACATAGGATTAAGAAATGACATACGTGGCGACACCAAGAGGCCACTGGAAGACATCCTTGTCGTTGACCCAGGGGCTGTCGTACACTACAAACAGCAGGTCCACAAAGCCACCGTTTCTCTTCAGGTAAGGAGCGATGAAGTCATTGTTGCAGTGCTCATTGCCCAGCAGCACCACTGCCACATGTGACACTGTGTGCGACTGTACCAAAGCTTGGACATGCTCCAGCCACCGTGTGGAGTAAGAGACCTTCTGTGGCTCGCGGCCGTTCAGAACCAGAACCAGGCTGTTCATATCCAGAGGGACATGACCCTGAACTACAGCAGGGCCTGTGTAGAAACTAAAAATGGAGAGGGAAAAAAGGGAGAAAGAACAAGTCAATTTGATAGCTCTGTTTTATTAAGGGGTTATTAAATGATGTGGTGTAATTCACAGAGTCCCAAAGGGCCGTTTTTACGTATCCCATCTTTGACCTGTTACCTGAAATCAATCTTCCCCGACTGCAGCTCGCCCTCTCTCCATTGTGCTACCTTGTCTGTGGGGTTGAGGGGTCCCTCTAAAATATGTTCCCAAAGGTAAAGCCCTGAGGAGAAAAGAAAGGTTCAATGCAATTTGCTACCGAAGTTAAAATGTCAACATGTGCAGAG